TTTGGTGTAGATTTCAATATTGATGATAATAACATTTGCCTATTCCCTGTCCTTGGGAAGGACTCAGTGGGTGGATAAAAAAGCCAAATCTACTCTAAATATCAGGCTGACTGCAACAAACCACAATAAAAGAATTTAAAATAGATCCAAGAATTGTCTTGATAAATGTGTTGCATCTTGGGGTGGTGGGTGTTCTTTCTGCTTTTCAATCATATCCAATTCTCCTATGGCAAAAAGGAAATATAGAAATTGTAAATTTAATTGAAATGACTAAATATTATTTAAATTTGTGACCCAGCCAAATACTCTGTTCAAAGAAAATACATTTTATGTTTGTATGTGTGTTTGTCTAAAAAAAATTAAAAAAAGTTATTTTTTAAAAAACACCACATCCAATTCTTAGCATGGACAAGACTCTGCTGTTTTCTTAGCAAGGTTTTTCAGAAATGGTTTGCCATTACCACCTTCCTAGAGCTGAAGGTGACCAACCCGAGGTCATCCAGATGGGTTTGTACCCAAGATGGGACTGGAATTCATGATCTCCCTGTTTTTTGTCTGATGTCTTAACCACTAGACCAAACTGGATCTCAACATAAAAACCAAACTTTTGTTCAAGTCGATACACAATATTGTTTGTATAAAAATGTCTTAAATTGGTGGATGAAAGAAATTTTAGATCATTTATATTGCTGTACAATGGCAATGCAATGTGATATACACGCACACAAATCTTAATTATCAAGACTGATGACATTTAGTTAAATTTAGATTTATATATGTATCTCATTTCCAGAATTTGTTAGATGTGTTGACATTAGAATATAGATAAACTGTTAAGCCTGAATTTGATTGGTGTGTGGGATCCCTGGGCATTCTGACATGCATTCAGCTTGACACAGTTTGAAGCTGAAGAGGGGATGAAGCCTTCAGTCAAAACAGCATTCCTAACTGAGGAGTCAACCACATTCCAACATTCCACATTCACACTCCTCCTGACCGGAGGAGGAAGAGAGATGTCGCCGAGCAACCAGCTCCCATCTTGGTTGGATAATGTGACCATTGTTTTGGAAACTTGAGAAACTGAAACTTATATTGGGGTGAAAAGCCTGGGAACTTTAGTACTGGCTTTTCACCAGTAGCGCCAAGATGGTGTATCCAAATAAATTCATTCTTTGAGGAAAAGCAATGCCTTGGAGTTTGATTTGTGATGGGTGCATTACTTGGAGCCTGACATAAACTGGATAAATATAAAAATAACATAATTTAAAGAAAAATAAGTTATAATTTTTCCACTTATGCTTATTTATCGTATTTTTCGACAACCGATTAGGTTTATTAACAAAGAATAAATAAAAACACATTTAATTTTAATCTACCAGGCATAGCCTATTATAGAGTTGTCTTTTTAACTGTATGAACCATTCTCAAGAAACATATCCACATGGAAGAAAACGTGCTTTTTAAAAAAAAAATAGTACACGGCTATTTTTATCCAGTTGGTTTCCTTTGCTGTGATTAACCAACCAAATCAATATTTATCAGTGCCATAGTGAGTCATCTAATTGGAAGAAAAAACATGTGCATGTCAATAAGAATTCTCTGAGCCATTTATCACTAGATTAGTCTGCATTCTGTGCATAGAGACATTTAGTATGTAATCCCAATAGAAATCATGCCATCAACAAAAAAGGAGAAGTCAATTTCTCTTTGAAATACCTCCAGGTTTCACCTGCTAATTTATTGCTTTCTGTACTTGGAGCCATTGAATAGTCACTTCTTGGTTGCATGCTCATTTATCAAAATGTAAGGAGCTACACTGTGAAGTGATTAATAATCTCCCAAATCAGCCTGCATTTCGCTCTGGAACATTCATTTTAGTGGGTGGAAATCAAATGGATTTTTCAGACCTCCTGCTAAAACAGGTGAAAAGAATGAGGGGGAAAAAAGACAGCAAAGGAGACTAGCAAAATGAATTTAAGGACTGTAGGCTGCTTCCATATAGGCAAGGTAATCTAGAAATGCAGAAAATAAATGCTTTAAATACAGAAGAGGGATTGATGAATTGTATTTTCTCAGAGCTGAAACAAAGGGCAGAGGGCCATATATTGTCCCAAACAAAAGTCCTGTTTGCCTCAACTCAGAACTACCCTGTTTCCCCCAAAATAAGACATCCCTTGATAATAAGCCCAATTGAGCTTTTGAGCACATGGCAATAAGGCCAAGCGCTTATTTCAGGGTTCAAAAAAATATAAAACAGGGTCTTATTTTCAGGAAAACACAGTACATTGGAATGTATTTCCCCGAAACTGAAACTTTTTAAAACAATAGAATAAAATGCTGCTACTGTGGATATAATGCAGACTTTCATTCACTGGAGTTATTTAAGCTAGCAGCAAGGGATGCTAGAAAAGTGTCCTCAATCTTAGATCTTGCGATGAGTGGTCTGTGGGACAAGATCCTTTCACACTAGATACCATCATGCCATTTGCTCGGTAAAAGTGCCCCTAGGTCATAATTAGCAATAGGAATAACACTTAGATTCATATATCTCCCCACAGTGCAATTTACAAAGTCAGCATATTGTCCCCAATAATCTGGGTCATCATTTTACCAATTTGGAAGGATGGAAGGCTGAGTCAACCTTGAGTCTTCCAGAACTGATCTCCAGGTTAAGGGCAGAGCTAGCCAGCAATACTGCATTCTAACTATTGCACCACCATGTTTCATATAATGAGAAGAAGTATACATTTGTATCAGTGGTGGGTTTCAAAAATTTTCACTACCGGTTCGGTGGGCATGGCTAGGTGGGGGACATGTGACTGAGTGGGTCACTCACACCGACGCCCACTCAGTCACATGAGTGGGCGTCATGAGCCCCCCACCTAGCCACACCCACAGGGAAAGGATAGGAAAAATTTTGGAATTTCCACCTATCTACCCCCACCCTCCCTTCACCAGTTGCCCCCGTTTCCCCTCCTTTAGTGGCCCCGACCCTAGCCCCTCTTCCTCTCCACCACCACCTCTTTGTTCGGGCTGCTTACCTTCCGCAGCGGCTGGTCCAGAGTCCAGAAGGCAAGCTGACCGGAGTTTTCGGTGGCCCACAGCCAGCCAACACTGGTGGAAAGCGGCTGGCAAAGAAGGCACTTTGAGATCTGCTTTGCGGCTGCAGCAGCTGACCACAGGTTGCCGAAAAGTACCGCCAGAAAAAGCTGCTGCCGTCACCACCATGTTCTTCACGCATGCATATCCCATTGGACTTGCAAGGCAATGGGATGTGCATGCACAAAGAACATGGCAGTGATGAACATGATGGCCAGGGCGAGCGAGCGGCGACCAGGGGACCGGTTCGGGTGTGTGGCCAGCCAGCCATCGCTACCAGTTTGGCAACTGATGACAAATTATCGCTACCGGTTCTCCCGAACCAGTGCGAACTGGTAGCAACCCACCACTGATTTGTATGCAGTGGTCATACCTGCATACAAATGTGTCTCAAATGTGTCCTTGTCAAGAATGCCAACAGCTTATGAAATTTATTGAAATTGTTGTTGTGGGATCAACAGCCACAACATATAGGAGTGTGTTTTCAGTCAATATATTATACTGAGTAGTATATAGTCAATATATTATACTGAGTAGCTTCAAAGACTCCTTTCAAATCTTGGATATTATAAACCTTGATGACCATATGATCAGTTTAAGAATGAATGTCCTTTCCAGGAATATATAGAAACAAAAAATGCATTCTTCAGTTTTGTTTCTTTGAAGTCACTTGTTTCCAGAATCTTTAAATTGTGTTTTGGAACAGCCAGCCTTTGCTTTATAGATGAGTAAAGTAAAACATTTCCATCATAAGGAAACATAAAACTTTTTTTATCCTTTGATCTTGCTTACATACATTTTTTACATGAGAAAAAAAAGAATACAAAAAAAATCTTCTTTAGCAGCTTATTATAGCTTGAAACTGTGCTCTGCATAAGTAGGAAATTGCCTAACTACTTCATAGGAATGTGAAGTAATCTTTGCAGTACAGCTAACTACGTGGCTTTCAAATGATGATTAGTAATCATTATACTTTTGAGATACATGATTATAGTTGGGATATCAGAGTGCTACGTGCAATATTTGAAGAAGATCCTCCCTCAGCAGATGCCAGGGCTTTAAAACTGAATTGGGTTTCACCAGTTAGCAACTGGCTCTTCAAGATAAGAGAGTCTGAAGCTGCAAAACTCTCTTCTCAGAACTGTGGTCTTTATGCTCTCGTGTGGCTAAAATATAGCACTGCATCTTGTTTATTTGGGACACAATGAAGAGACTTGGAGGAATATGGATCTGTGTGCTATTTTTCTTAAGTGCACTTTTTAAGGAATGTAAAGTTTACAAGCACAAATGTATGGCATTTTAAAATTAATGATCTTTGGAAGAGTTTTATTTCTTTAGTTGATTGTTGTATGTCCCCAATAGTCGATGTTTGTGAGATGCACAGCTATATTCAAATTTGGTTAATGAATAAATAAGAGTTTGCTTCTCAAATTGGTTTTTTAAATTTTGCTTAAGAACAGCAAGAATCCTTGGAGAACGAATTAGGATCAGGCCGCTAGTAGAACAGTGCAGGTAGCAGGAGATTTTGCTTCACCATGTTTTCTGGTCCAACAGTTGGCATATTGGTATTTATCACACACAAGTAAGTAGGTAGTTAGAGAGAAGGAGGGAGAAAGAAAATGAGAATGAGAGAATGATAATTTAGAGATGTGTCCCATGTTCTATTCGGGACCTCATAGGGCTTCTTCCTTCCACTTTCCCCACAACAAGTCTGTGAGGTAAGTTAGGCTGAAGAACTGATTGGCTCAAGGTCACCAACTACCATGGTTGAAGGTAACTTGAATCTGAATCTGATTAGCACTGATGATGTTACCTAATCTGGGTAATGAAACGTCTGCAAGAAAACAACCAAGCTCAGAGACCACCAAGGACCCCTCCCCAAATCTGAATCATTCATTACATCAAGCACTGATATGTTTTAATAATAGTATAGAGATTGGTCTGGGGGAAAAATATGGAAAGGAAGAGTGCTATGTCTCCCAATGCTTCAGTCCATTCTCCTATTAAGACATAGTTGCTTTTAAAATAAAAGATGAGCTATCCTTCATGGAATCCCACAGTTCTCATCCTGTGTGGTCCCACATAATAATTTATCATCAGACACTATCATCATATAGAAACTATGTTGAGTTCTGTGAAAATTCAGTAGTGCTGAATCCAACTATCTGCTCAGCCCTGATAACCCAGGAGTATATTTCCCATCTTTCTTCCTAGGCACTCAGGCTTCACTGAGACCTGCAGCTGTTGCTCGGGAAAAATTGAGACAGCGGCATATGGACATTGCTCCACTTGTGTGGTTTCTGCTTATTTCGGCATGGATATTACTCCATAGACAGAGGTTTATGTTCAACGGTCTTTCCTGCAGGATGTGTTAAGCCCTGGCAACAGAACAAGAAGGTGCATATTAGAATCCAAAGTTGCTTGTAAAACAGCCCAATCAAAAGGTGCCTTGTCATAAGCCTGATGTAAAACTTAGTGGGTTACATCAAGCTTACACGAGCCATTTTCCCTGCCTCAACAGCAGCTGGAAAAAGGATTTGCCCAGGCAGAAATAAAACTATTCCCACTTCTTTTTTCCATCCATGTAAATTGTCATTTTGACTCTGCAAGTTTCTTTTTAAAAACATTTTACTTTAACAATAATTTGTTCAATAATACTGCAAATAATGAAATTCTGTCTACAGACACTTGTTCATATGATTCCCTAAGTGCCCAGTTATTTTCAAGCACATTTTTACCATGATCCAGGCTGGAAATATGCTTCTCTTCTACAGAATGAAATGTTGGATTTGCAGCCAGTAGTACTGTTTCACAGCTAGTATGAAAGGGATTGCTATGAAAGCTAAAATAGATGACATATTAAAATACATTGCATGTTCTGGAAATTATGATGTTTTCTGAAGGGGTGGCTGGGAGAGAAATAATAAAATCCTTTTCTATGCACACCTGATTACATCCCCAAATTTGTTCATCTCCCTCTCCCCAATATTAACATTCCTATAGGCAGACAAATTAAATGCAATAATTAAAACAGACATTAAGCACATGCATTTGGATTTTTTGATTTTATATTGCTTGATACATTAATTGTAGGCAATTAAGGGAGGACCAAGTCAGTGCCAAAGTAATATCATAACTCTTTGAGACTGGCTTGGCAACTTATATAATAGTCATTCCATTAATGAAAAATAAAAAAAGCACAATCCAAAGCTACAAGATTGTGTATGGTCCCTTAAGGTTAGTGCCAGTTTGTAATGTTTCATAGACAGTAAGGAAAAGTTATCAATATTATGAATACATATGAAGCAATATGTATGAAGTAGTCACTGATATTAAAATATATTTAATTAATAAGATATTAATGTAATTATTGTTGGTTTTGAATTTTAGTACTGGAGAAGATTTCTGAAAATATTATGAATAGTCAAGAAAATAAACAAATGGATAATTAAACAAAACTGAGAGTTCTCACTCAACACACAAATGATCAAGCTCAAATAATCACTCCAGCTATCTGGAGAAGATCGTATTGCTGAGAATGGTGAAAGATGACCAGCAGAAAGATGGATGGTCCATTATAGTGGTGATGAGAGCCCATTGGAATACCTGAAAGACCAAGTTAGAGACATGGAGAAAATTGGTCTAAGTGGTGGCTAAGACTTGACAATCAACTTGATGGTACATAATTGATAATAAATTTTGAATTGTTTGGCATACTGTTGAAAGGCATACTGTACAGCCTTAATTTGCCCCTATCCATGTGCATTCATAAATTTTATTAATTTAGGAAAAAGACTACCTGAATTTTAGCTAATGCCCTTACTCTAGACTTTTTATCCCCTTAATAATTTTAATTATGTGAGTGTATGTGTATTTGTGTCTGAACAGTGTCTGTGCAGAACTTGTAGAGCAGAGATATCCCATTCTATGATCTCTACCTGTAAAATCATATTAACTCTGGGGAACAAAGGCTAATTCCCACTCTTTCAGTGAGCATTCAAGGGGAAACTTAAATGTTTGATTTAAAGCATTTTAGTTCTAGTATCTTAAGTTCACCCTAAAAAGCTCTTCTCAGGTTTGGCATATGTACATTTTTATATATTTTATGCCTCCTTGATTTATGATTGTTCTTAATTTTGCTACTAACCTTCTAGATTTTGTCCTTCCCATTCTCCCTTTCTCAATAAAATGTATGAATAACTACAGTCAATTCAGAAGACCTTGAAATCTGATAAATCTGTCAAATTTTCAGCAATTTATTAAGATGGAGAGGACTTGCGGCTCTCTTCTGAAACATCTTAGTAGCACTAGCTTCTTCCAAGAATTGAATCTTTCACAACTTTCAGTTTTGTGTCCAATTCTTCAATTAAGATTTAAGATTTATAATGAGTCATGGTTTAACGGAAATATAAAAAGATGCTTTGTTCACAAAACATTGTATCATTGTTTAATACATTGCAAGCCAGTCGACGTTTATTCTAAAAGTTTCTTCCATGATTCTAAAAGGGCAGCATGTGAGAATTTGAAAAATTCTCTTTCTCCTTTCACTTCACAAGAAGTGAATATGTTCTCAGGAGGAACATATTCACTTCTTGCATTTTGCTGCTACAAGTTGTTTTAGTTTCAGTGCAGACGCTTGAGGTCTAGCAGTAAAATGAGCATATATAATATCTCAAAATTAAACTTTTCTGTTATGGAAAAGTAGCAAAGATAGAACTGATCAGCTGTAGTAAACTAGCAATCAAGGCCTAGAATTGACTATATTTAGAACTTGATACCCAAGTCTAGGTTACAGAAGGCACTTAGCACAGGAACATTTTGTAAACATTTCAAATCTGTATGCTGCTTAACATTTGTGTGGGGCACTGTTCAGTTTTGTCAGTTTGGTGGTAATAGCTAAGACATCAGGCTAGACACTAGGAGACCATAAATTCTAGTCCCATCTTAGCCATGAAGCCATCTAGTGGTCTTGGTTCAGTCGTTTTATCTTAGTCCTAGGAAGGTGACAATGACAATTGTCTGAAAAACCCAGACAACTGAACAAGATGGAATAGGGGGGGGAATCTAGGAGTATTTATTAAAATAAATACTGAATTGAAGGCAAAAGAAAACAAAAAGATTTTTGAAGACTTTAAACCAAATTTCTCAACAGATACAATTCTGAGACTTACCTATCTTCCTCCCTCCCTCCCCCCTCCCTCCCTCCCTCCCTCCCTCCCTCCCTCCCTTCCTTCCTTCCTTCCTTCCTTCCCTTAAAATGTCTCCAGGGTCTCTGGATGTTGCAGACATATAAGGACTAGGTGAGGGAGAAGAAACAGGGCTGGACTTGTTTGTTGTTGTTATTTCCACAACATGCCCCTCCTGACAGACCTGGTGGGATGGGTGGGTGTAATTGGGAAGAGGTGGCTCTTTCATCTTTCACCGAAAGACAGGCCTCATTTTGATGACTCGTGCAATGCTAATCTGAATATGGATTTTTGTAATCAAGGAGCAGACTGTCGCAGCTTCTTCCAGTTGCGTGTATCAAAGGCTACAAGATGCCATGATGAAGCCGTATCCCTTTTGTATGTGTTTGAGTTGGCCTAATTGTCATAGGATTCTGAAACCAATTCAAATGGATGGTTATTGCCTATAAAGCCCCACACAATGTGGTTCTTAGCTTCCTTGGGGAATACCTTGTTCCAAATTATTTTGCACAACCTTTCAAATCACTTAGCAAGAATCTGCTCAAAGTCCTGCCCCCTTGGGGAATAAATGGCTATGGCCAGGAAGTAATTTTCATAACAGCCCCAACATTGTGGAATATGTTTCTCCTTGTGATTGCCTCTCTTGCGCCTGGAGCTAGAAACTGCTCAAAACATTCTTTTTCAAATGTTCCTTGGATGGTTTTAAGCCCTAATTGAAAGATGAAACTATCTTCCTTATTATTTAATGACTGTTCCTGTAATTTTCGGAATTGCTTTTATGATGATATTCTTTTGTATGCTGCTTAGAGACATTCAACTGGAGCAATAGAGAAATTTTGTTAATAAGTAAACAAATAATAAATAACAAGAGCCAGCAGAACACTTTGCAAATCTTCATTTGAAAATGTTTGTTTAGCAGACTGATCTCTCATTAATAATTATTCTTCTCACAGTCTCCCGTGACTTCTTGCATCAGATAGCTATTTAAATGTTGCAAGTGATTTATATTTGCTTCAATTACTAATATAGTACAGTTCAATAAGTGACCATATATGGTAGATTTATTGACAAATGCTTATCCTTAAACATAGACATAGACATGTATATTATCACTAAAGGTATTTGAGATATATTTTCAAGATCTAAATTTTTGCTGCTATATATTATTTGACACTGATTTCTCCCAGTACATTTGTATTACAACTCTAATAATAGAGTGATAAATGAATGGTAATACAACCTATGACCTTGTTCAGGAAAGCCATTTTATTATGTCTCTTTTTAAATTGAAAAAAGTATCCTTGCTTACAAAAATGTGGATTTCATTGTATTTATATATCCCTATTGGCTGCTATTGGCTCATGTAGGAAAATGCATGATTTGATACCGTAACAAGGCATATCTTTACATGTCTAAGGTCAGTGCTGGCAAGGATCAATATAGTACAGGTAATCCTCAATTTATGACTACAATTGAGCCCAAATTTTCTGTTGCTAAATGAGACAGTTGTTAAGTGAGTTTTCTTTCCATTTTACAATCTTTCTTGCCATAGTTGTTAAGTGAATCACTGCAATTATTAGTAACATAATTATTAAATGAATCTGGCTTTGACTTAGCTAGTCTGAAGGTCTCAAAAGGTGATCACATGACCCTGGGATACTGCAATCATCATAAATATGAATCAGAAGTCAAATTTTGCATCTAGATTTTGATCACATGACCATGGCAATGTGTCAGCTTTGGAAGCCATATTAGGCTGGAAGCTTCAATGCTACCACCTTCTCATGTGTAGGAAAGTAGGAGGGGGGATTAAGGAGAGGGGTTGTTAGTAGACATAATAGCATTCTTCCTGTCGGTCAAGGTCAGTGATCCAGCATCTGGAGAAGGAGTGGTCAGGGGGCTGGATTGAGATGGAACAGACATTGATTGGAGCATGTGATCGACCGGGGGGAAAGGGGATGGTTTTGGGAGCTTTGACTTGCTGAAGGAAAACCTGGGCTTTTCAGATTTGGGTTTTCCCAGATGTGCCAGTTTGCCTATTCTAGTAAAGAGAACTTTGGAAAAATGTTTGCTTCCGCGTCTTTAACTTGGAGTTGGGATTTTTCTGGAATGCTGACATTAACCCGAATCTCTAGGCTGACAAACGTCGGTCCCTGCTTTGGTTGTAAGTGTAAAAAATTGTCATAAATCACTTTTTCAGTGCTGTTGTAACTTTGAACAGTCACTAAACAGATTTGTAAGTTTAAAACTACCTGTACGCCAGTTGTGGGTTGCTCCCTGTTCGCACCGGTTCACAAGAACCGGTAGTAAAAATTTGTAGTAGTTCCGAGAACCGGTAATAACATTGGCTGGTCATACCCCCAAACTGGTCCCTGGCCCGGTTGCCGCTTGCTTACCCCACCTACCTCATCAGAGGCTTTTTTTTTTTACTTTTAAAAGCACTTTTTCTACAATGTCTTCGGCCGAAAAAATGCTTTTAATAGCAAAAAAAAAAAAATCCTCTGATGATCCCGTGGCTCAGCTGGGATCGTCAGAGGCTTTTCAAAGCATTTTTTCTACAACCTCTTCAGCTGAAGAAGTGGTAAAAAATATGCTTTGAAAAGCCTCTGACGATCCCAGCTGAGTTGCCTGATTGGCAGAGGCTTTTCAAAGCATTTTTTTCTGCAACCTCTTAAGGTAAAGTAAAAAGTAAAAAAAAAAAAAGTTAGCCATGCCCACCCAGTCACATTACCCCCACCAAGCCATGCCCACAAAATAAGCCACACCCACAGAACCAGTAGTAAAAAATTTTAGAACCCACCCCTGCTGTGTCTACTCCATTCACCATCCATGTCCACAAATATATGCAGGGAGGACAAAGAGGTCCCCATAACATGCATTGTTATGTCATCACCCAAATCATATTACTTATATACTTCAGATCTTTTGCATTATGACATCCTTGGGTCATGTGGTGATTATGTCACAAATGCACCTAAGATTATCATGGTTTTTGCTGGATGTCTATGTTTTTAATTTTCTGGGTTGGGAAGTAGCTGTTATGCTTATGGCAGCATGAAATTTTGTGGTGGATTTCTGCTGGTATTAAAATTATGCAAATGTAATTTTATGAATATAAGTTCCTTTGATGAAATGTCTATTCAACTCTGGCCAGCAGGAAACCAAATACAAATGGGAATGAAGGACATGGTGTACCATCCCACTTGCTTCATTCATGCTTCGGTTCTATGCATGGAGAGACCTATTATGAGGCCTCCCTGAGCTATGTAATTAATGAACTGAAATGTGACGGGGAAACAGAAATTTGGCTACAGTAAAGATACATTTGTGAATGTCACTTTTATAACTGCTGCAGTGTCTGCTTCCTTTCTCAAAGATGGCTCCCTCCAGACTTTCTGATTAGGACATTCTGCCTGTAAAGATATGGGACAGGTCTTAATTGCAAAAGCAGCAAGGGACTTTTGATAGATTCTCCCACCTACCTACTCCATTACCACCCACAGGTATCAGCTGTATGAGCCATAACAAGAGGCTTTTACATGAACAGTAGACTGAAAGAAAAGATTTCTGGTGCATTGTGATTGAGTTGCCAAGAACCTGGGTGACTTTAGAGATAATTATAAATAAATGCACTGTTATCCTGCAATAACTCTTTAAAATAATTTTATTAATGTTTTTAACAAATACAGTAAATACTGTAAAAACTAATGTAAGCTCAACTAGAAGAAATGGATAAAAGAAACAAAGATAGAAGAGGGGGGAAAAGACAACAGAGACTATAATAAAGTGGTTTCCAACATTCATCACACCGAACATAATTTTTCATACTCTTTTAAATTTACAACCAAACCCCCCCCCCCCTTCTGCCCATATGCTAACTTTTATCTATACATAATCCAGAAATCATTTTTTCCAATCCCAATGCAGCAAAAATCCAATAGGAGTTACCAGAAATATTGAACAAATGGTTTATCCCTGGTCAAATAGGCCAACTTTATATTGCTTCCTTCTGCACAATCCTGACCTTTAAATCATTCATATGGCATCTCAGGATTTGATCTGAATGCCAGCATCTTCGGCGTTTGAAATGAGTTTCAAAGCTTTCACTAACTACTTTGTAAATGTCGTAAAAAATGTTTCATCCAGAATTTCTTGTTGCAACTGCTCCATATCCAGCTCCTTTTCTTGATTTGCCTTATCTAGTCTCATTTTGGTAACTGCAATTTTATTGTCTTTCATGCCATCAAGCTCTATAACTCCCTTTCAGGTAAAGATTTTTTTAAAAGTTTTTCTCATCTTCTACAAGTTTATCCATTGAAATCTGTATCCTGTCTGAGATATTATTAATAGTTCAGTCCATGTTTAAAAACACTCTTTAAAATAAGAGAAAATTATATCCGACTTAGCCATTTTCATTCTTTTCTGCCTCATCCTTTAGTTCCCTCTAGTGTACACTTGCAACCTTCATCAAACCTCAGTTCAAAATATGGGTTTGGTTCTGTTTCAGTAATTTCACACAAATATTTGACTTAATTATATACTTGCTTTTTAAAAAAATCTTACACCAAAAAGAATCAATATTCAATTTTTTTCTGATCTCTCAATCCATTTAAAACTTTCTTAAATCAAAACAGCTTTTTTGTTGGTTTTTGCCAATGTTGTATTATTTTAAATTATTACATCTCTGTTTATTTGGGGACTGTAGGCTAAAATATATAAAGAACGGTTGCTTGAATTGGGTATGTCTTGTTTAATGAAAAGAAGGACTAGGGTGACATGATAGCAGTATTCCAACATCTAGGGGTATGCCATAGAAAAGAGGCAGTCAACCTATTATCCAGAGCACCTGAAGCAGGACAAGAAGCAATGGAGAGAAACTAATCAAGGAGGGAAACAATCTAGAACTAAAGATAAATTTCTAGACAGTTGGAACAATTAATCAATGGAACGAGTTCCTCCAGAAGTTGTGGATGCTCCAACACAAGCCTTGGTACTACAGGGGTTTAAGGCACCCTGTTATTAAGCTTATTAAGACCAGCTGCCTGCAATTACTGCAGGGTTCGAATCTCGCCAAGGCTCAAGGTTGACTCAGCCTTCCATCCTTTCTAAGGTAGGTGAAATGAGGACCCAGTTTGTGGGGGCAATAAGCTGACTTTGTATAAATATACAAAAGGATGAAGGCTATTGCTGAGCACATTGTAAGCCGCCCTGAGTCTTCGGAGAAGGGCGGCATATAAATCAAATTAAAAAAAAAAAAAAACACTGGAAGTTTTTAAGAAGAGATTAGACAACCATTTGTCTGAAATGGTATAGGGTTTCCTACCTGAGCAGGGTAGAAAACCTTCAAGATCCCTTCCAACTCTGTTATTCTGTTAAAAATTTCTTAAATTGAAAGAAAATAAAACTTGCCAGTTTTCAAATTAAACTCACAGTTTTGATGGTTTCTAATATCCATAACATTTCCAAATGTATTAAAAAGTGAATTCAGCTGGCTTAGTATCATCATGAAAAGCTCCTCCATTGCTGAGAATAAAGATGCCATCTCCCTTGCTCCTGGCACTCAAACCAGTGGTGGGATTCAGCCAGTTCGCACCACTTCGGGAGAACCGGCTGTTAAAATTTCTGAGCAGTTTGGCAAACTGATTTTTGGAAGAAATCATTAGGGCAGAGAACTGGTTGTTAAATTACTTGAATCCCACCACTGACTCAAACCCATGGGAGACTGCTGCTATCCTTGCAAGAGGTTTGCTAAATGGTCTTCTCATGAGTAGCTGCCATTCAGAGCATTCATTGGCAAATCTCTGGAGAGATTCGAAGGACCAGTCTATTTGCTGATCATTCATTCTTCACAACTGTCTTCATCTCTGTATCTTCAGTCAGCCATGACTCCCACTGAAAACAAAAAGCCTGTGATAACTTTTTATGTTCTATCTATATCCTTTCCTAGGCATCATTTCTACACTAAAGATTTAGGGATAAAAAAGCAATCTATGGGCTAAAAATACACCCACTCTCAGATGCACACATGGGACTAGACATAGGAGTCACAGGGTTAAAATTATATCCTATTGATAGCTTTGGCTATCAATGACAGAGAAAATTAAAATTAAATCACTTTTAAATATTATGGTTGAACCTATTCTATTAATCAAAAAGTCCTGCTGGAAAAGTCTGTCTGACCATCACCATTAAAAAAAAAGAAAACACTTTTGATTTGTAATATTGACAATGAAAATATTTTTTTAAAGCTATGTCATTGAACTGAAAATATAATTCTTGGAAACTCCGACATGTTTATAAATGAAAATGACTATATGGAGCTTCTGATGTGTTTTTTCAAGGGATTTATTATACTCTATTGAAGTGCTTTTCTTTGGACATATTTATGAATATAATAGTATTTGAATAACGTTCTACATTAGATATAGCGGAATACCAACAAAGACATACTTTTTCTGGAAAAAAGAGAAAACAATGACTGAAAAATTCTAGTTATCATTGTTTCCATTACTTTAGTGTTTTTCAAAAATATTGTAGGACAAGCTAAATATTACTTTAAATGCAGAATCATATTTAATATTGAAGTAAGTACTATGTGTGCCTAATTCTTGCCCATTATTGTTTCCAATATTGTACCAAAAGTAAGTGAAGGAGCTTTTATAAGATTGTTACTTACAGTATATATCACTGAGAACGGGATGGGGGATTCTGGAAAAAGCAAAATTAGGAAATAATTAACATCATTGCAGATTTCTGCTGTGAGGGAAGATGCAGAAAAGAATGTTCATGGTCCAGACATATGATACCCAATTTAAACTGCCTTTGGGCTGGGCTTTATTATGAAGACAATTTAAGCCACCTTAATGAAAGATCTATATCCAAAAAGACAGGGATAACTATAATGTTTTTGATTCTCTTTTAATTGTGTTCACTAGCATTTCTCCATATATGTAAATTAAACAAAGTTTCACTTCAAGGTAAATAACCATTTTAGGAAGGGGACAGAGTATATATTTTACTATCCCCTACATTGATATTTGCAAAATAATGAACGTTTACAGCTACTTAACATTTTTTTTACATATTGTTATGTGATACAATGTACCACATGCTTATATTCCTTGACAAAATATGGAAATAAATACATAAAACAAACAACCAATTATTTAAGAAGTTGCATATTGGAACCTATGCGTATTTTAGAATTGTATCTTTCAGCATGTTATTGGACTACAGAGTGTTTGCTGGTATACTTTTTATTTTAATCAAGTTGATATAATTTGCTCCTCCTGGATAGATATGCTAAAAGTAATGATAGTTTTATTGTTTGGCTCTCTTAAGTCACCATTCTCTGGCAAGAGATCTGTTAGGAGACAACTGGACTCCTTGACAAAGATGGAGAACCTGATTTCTCTTTCCATGGAAATTATGATATTTATCCATCTGTATAGCCCAGGGGTCAGCAACCTGCGGTTCTGGATATGCTCTTTCACCCCTCTGCTGCGGTTCCCTGTCACTCAAAATACGTGTCACAACCACCAATGTACAACACCCGCCGGCACATGATTTATTGAGCTTTTCAAGCCCTGGTAGGCCAACCATGGATAAACCCAAGAAAAGAAAAGTTTCAGAAGAAAACAGAATGTTTAATTCAACTACATATGCTAGTTTTGTGGCCATTCAAGAAATAGTCAGGCATGGGAAGAGTTTTGTGGCTCCCGGTGTTTTCTTTTCTGTGGGAAATGGGTCCAAATGGCTCTTTGAGTGTTTAAGGTTGCAGACCCCTGGTATAGCCAAAGAAGTGCATTCCATCTTTTTGACCTTGTGATCATTTTTCAGCTGCTAGT